TTAGCTGGTTTGCTGCCGGCCATGCTAAAACTCCAGCTACCGCCATTTAAGCGTAATTTTTCATCTTCGTCACCAACATCAACAACAACCGCACGCTATGCCAGCTTACATTCTTCGCCGAATTCGCGTAGCAGCGCGCCCACTTCACAGCCGCAGGTTACAATTAAAAGCGCGCGTAATACGCAACGCTTGGGCGTGATTGCATCACGTAATCGCGGCGCTCGCCTCGCCACCGGCGATTATTTACTCTTTCTCGACAGTCACTGCGAGGTTAATGTGGGCTGGCTGGAGCCGTTGCTAGAGCGTTTGGCCATAGGCGCAACGGCCGTCAGCCCCGTGTTGGATAGCATTAATGCGGAGTCATTGGAGTATGCGGCGAGTTCGAAGAATCTCATGGGTGGTTTCGATTGGAATTTACATTTTCATTGGATACCGCGACCGCAATCACAGCCACAGCGTCGCGACCAAKACAACGAGCAGCAACAACAACAGCGCGCAYTCGCGGAWTCTTTAAACACGCAAACCGCATATTTACAGCAATTCGRTTGGGCGCGCAGCAGATTTAGCGAGGCGCGCTTGCGACGCGACACAAATACCGCCGTAACGGCATTCAAGTAATTTACCTACACCACTTCATTATTTGATTTTGTTTTGTTTATTTTCTTTAACGAGAAATACTGTCATCTAATCTGCCTGCAGCGCATTTCACCGGAAAAATTAAAAAATGTGTTGTGTTTTAGATTTCTTGAGAATACAATTTCACCAGGCTGGCTTAAATTTGTTTTTTTTTTTTTCAATGAGATTTTAATACAACGAATTTTTCTGGAATTTTTGAAGAGCTCATATTTATTAGTAGCAGGTTTCGTACCGTCCAGTATAACGTATTAAGTCGCAGTATAGTCGAAGACTACTAGCGCCTAGAAGAAACGCCTTCTATTATAAAAAATGTGTTTTTCTTCCAGCGAGTGTTAGTAAAGCATTCATCTGAGATGACCGCAAACGGTTGTGTTCTGGCGTCTACTTTTGCATATTCTGAGCTAATCAGATATGAAAGGGGGGGAAAAAAATGAGAAGAAAAACTTCCATACATCGGCCTTATCATTAACCAGTATTTGTTGTCCAAAAGCGGTTGAAACTTTTCTGTTTTCAGTTCCTCTTACCACTACCAAAACTTGTTACAGGTCACCCCAACAAAGAGAGGTCTTTGGAAATTGAAATGTTTTTTCTTCAATTTATATTAAAACGATCGGAATGTCCTTCAATGTCCTTCAATGCTTCAGTTAAAATCAACGTACGGTTAGTGACCTCTTACAGCGTGCTAAACTAAAAGCAAGTTAACGTTGAATAACCGACAGATCATACAACCAGAAACAGAATTAATAACAGTGGGAAGCAAGCACTAAAAGTATAATCAAACTCTATACATCATACGATGTACATAGAGGAACTTACTGTACCCACAGATAGATAGATAGTAAGATTGAGGCCCTGCACTGCGACCTATGCCCTATTGTGCCCTYCCCTATATCACATATGGTCACAAAGATTCAGCAATCTGAACAATTCCAGGAGCTTCCTTGGCGCGACTGAGGTGATGTGATCCCTGTTCTTATAGTTGGAACCAACGGGGCTTGAGGCTACTTCTGCAAATTGCTGAGCAATATCAGGTGTTAAACCTATAGACATACTTCAAAACCTCGAGATGTAATATTATCTTACAATGATACCCTTTCTCATAAATAACCGCATGACACACTCAAAATGACACACTCAAATTTTCATTGTGATACCGAAACGTCACCGACGACGATATAGACAGGAGCTTAGCAGAGAAAGCCAAAACGCGGTGGAAAGATCTACCGGGGTTTAAAATTGCAAAGGACATGTGTAAATTATCAGAATTAAAGGAAGTTCCTATAGGCGCTCGATAGAAAATATTGTAGGAACATGGTTGAAAAACTGTCTGTTCGCGGTCTGATGGCGGCACAGTCCGAAAAGATTGCAGTAAATGAGAATAGCAAAACACCAGGGAAACAATGGTGCATATTTTATACGCATATTACGGATCGCCAAGGCGACGCTTTAACCAACTGAGGTGGCGCAACGGTATGAGAAAGTGGAGGAGGAATCGTTGGCATCCTAACGACTGATTGCTACTCACAGACAGTAGTCCATCTAGTATCGTTGAGCCCCAAAACTGTTCTATAGTATAACTAGCTTAATAGCCTAACCAAACTAACCTAACCTCCTAACCTAACCATATTTACATAGTCAGGCCAATATTTATTTCATTTCAAGCGAACGTATTTTATTTTTTCTTAATATTATTAATAATCTGAACTTTTCAGAAGCCCTACCTTTGCTGGTGGCATATTCATGATCTCTCGGGAATGGTTTTTTAAATTAAAGGGCTTCAATCCACTACTGGAGGTGAGTATGTTTGACAATGCTTCTAATTGGGGGTCAATTTGCTTATTTAGATATTTCTGTACGTATATCCATATCGTATTTCTTTAGCAGGTTTCTTGACATTATTCAAATTTTTGTAATRTAGAGTATTCTTCAAGCGACTTTAGGTATAAATGTAACCAGTTATGTGTTAGCACYTAAAATGATCTTGCATAATCATTGAGAAATAGTACTGATTTCGAATTGAGTATTCAAATCTGTTTTCGTGCTCTACAGAGACGAGATATCAGATTATTTATCTTTACTTTACTTAAATTGCTGGTTTCGAACTTCATAAAGATTGGCAGGCCATCAACGTATTTGGACTACAAATGCTAACRCAATTCACGAATATTTATGTATGAGAAAAAACATGAYTTTAYCATTTCACACTGWAGTCCAATCGGCATATGATAAACCCACTCCAAGGCGTGAAAAATGCAACAATCGGCTGGCAAGGTTCCGGCGCCTATATTTTGGGATGCGCGTGGAATTATTGACTACCTTGAAAATGGAAAGACCATCAACAGTAACTATTACATATAATTTATGGACGAAATAGCCGAAAAATGCGATTTTATTTTAAGAAAAAGAGACAATACTCCGCGTCACAAGTCAGTGAAAACGATGGCAAAAATCCATGAATTGGACTTCAAATTGCACTCACCGTATAATCTACAACTGGCCCAAGCAACTATTTTCTGTTCACAGATCTCAAAAGAATGCTTACTCGAAAGAAATTTTCGACGAATGAAGAGGTGCTGGCCGATGTTGAGTTCTATTTTGAAGCAAAGGACAAATCGTATTACAAAAATCGCATCGAAAAGTGTGAGGGCCCTGTAGTCGGTGCCGGCAAGAAACTATGATGAATAGAAAAAAAAACGAACCATAACCAAAATATCTGACTTCAATTGACCTGTTAGATATATCTCACCGACTGCCATTAATTTTGTAGACTTTTCCAACCCAATGCTTATTTAAAGAATGCTTCCTAAACGAAAAAAATTGTAATGAAAGCCATATATTTGGATAAAAATGGGCAAATAAAGTACGAAAGAAAGTCTACATAAATTAATTCATCATTAAAAGCATAATCTCAAATAATGTTAGAAAAATATTTATTAAAGAATTTCGGAAAAAAATATAAATATAATATATTCAATATTAAACCGATGCAAACCTTCCACTGCCTTCACCGCCACAACTGCAACTGAGTGTCTGAATGTGCCACACAAATGATTTACATACATACATGTATATATACATACATGTATATAGTACATGTATACGCTTACACATGTCATATTCATATGGTATTTTTCTTATTTTCATGCAACTTTATAGACTTGGGGTGGCGAGTCCATTGAATTCTCCATTAAATTGTGGCTTTGTGGCGGACAAATCGAGATTGTGCCATGCAGCCGGGTCGGGCATATTTTTCGCAAGCAGCATCCATTTCATTTTCCCAATGGCAGCGATAGCCAGACAACATATCTCAGGTAAGCCTCATGACCCCAAGAGTATAACCTACATTGGGTAGACACAGGCACGGCAGCGAGCAGTCAAAGATACGCTGGCAAAGCTTGGAAGTGTGTGTGTGTGTGTGGGCTATATCGATATGTAGACCGATAGTGCATTTGAAATACWTACATATATATATGTATATACATACATAAGGTAAAGCTACTTTTAGATTCAAAATCATGAATTTAAAGGTCTAAATTATTTGGAAGAAAACATTTAAATGTGATTTTTCAATTTCTGCTCACTTTTTCTTGCAGAAATTCAAAAATCATCGCCGAATCCTGGTTGGATGCCTACAAATATTTCTTCTACGCCTCCAAGCCGGCGGCCAAACGTATACCAATCAACAGCAACGACACAGTGCAAAGCCAACAGTTGAGGCGCGCTCTCAATTGCCGGCCATTCTCGTGGTATTTGCAGAATGTTTTCCCGCAACTCAAGTGCGTAAGCCAAATGCTTGCAGTCAGCATATACTCCCAGCTGCCCACACCAGGCTGACTAGCATACTGTTACGCTTTTTCRAAAAATTCGCAAAAAAATTCTTTCTAAGCTCACGCCAATGTACATTTGTGTATGTGTRTGTGTGCTTATGGCTTTGTAAACACATTTCTTGTTTTCCAACTACTTGCAGACTGCCCAACGATGACTTCATCGCATTTGGCGCATTAAGCTCCGGYGAGCTTTGCCTGCACATCGGCAATCATGCCACCAGTCAGCTGCATATGACTAGCTGCTTCCAAAATGACGTTACCCACTGGTATCTGCACCGACAAAATTCTCAATTGCAAGCGAGTTCCGGTGCGTGTCTCCACGTAGTCGCCGATGTGCCAAGGCGCGTAACGAAACTGAGTAACTCGACTCGTTCGACGCATTTTCGTGTTGTGCTCCGGCCATGCGTCGGTCAGGAAGTTGGCGATCGCGCGTATCAAAAGCAGAYACCGCATCAACGTTGGTTGCGTCGCGGCGGTTTGTTGGTGCACCAACAGACGCAGTTATGTCTCGATAATCCGCTAAACGATGTGGTGGTCGTCAGTCATTGCCGCAATGCCGCGCCGTCACAGCTGTTTCGCTTCGCCATGGAGCTGCAACGACTGTAAAGGCGGTGGCGGTGTACCGAAAAGGTTCTCAGTTGACTATGGCAAGGATACCTGTGTGCTGCTATTTTGGCATGATTMTCCACCCTGTCGGATCGAATTCAAATATGGCAACACTGCCGCAACTGTGTGATCTAAAGAGGAACTAAAATGCATCTCAGACTTTTTCCACAGTTTTCTTAATTTGGAACCGTATTGTTAGAAATTTAAACGAAATTTACATAAAGCCTTATTAATAATAAAACCATTCCTTTATTGGAACAATTCAAAATATGCTCTCTACACAACTGCATTTTTTATTTTCCATCTTTTCTGTAAGTACCGGATCCCCTGATACCGAGTTTCGGTATTGAAACCAATTTTGTTACTGTAATAAGATCTAGATGTAGATTTGATCTAAGAACTGCACAGACACAGGGGCTAAGAACTTAGTATCTAAATGAATTGGTAATACTTTGAGCCAAGTTTTAAAATCATTGGTGTCACTTTCTCTTGACAAATAGCTTACATAATTCAAAGCATAGAGATTATGTTAGGTTAAGTTAGAAAGTTAGACTGGCCGGCTGTAGCGGCTTACATAGCCTTAATTAAGTTTAATACGTGGTCATGCCTTTTTTTATGGTTTTTTTTTTCTGATTACTCACGTAGTTCCTTAAACTGCGAAGCTCCCAGCTACATAAGAAGTGTTCTAGATATCAGACTCAGAGAGCCACTTTTCTGAATACTCGGAAATCCTCACTCACTCTGAATTCATACCAGATCACTTGAATCATGAAGTCGCCAAATTGAACTCTGGCGGCTCCTGCTCTACCCATATAACGTGGGTGAGAAGAAGTCGTTGTAGAAGAGAGTTGCCGAGCTTCTTCATGGATGGATCAAAGTTTGTTGGATTTACTGTCAGGAGCTCTCTATCAACTCCAGTTTCAGGCCGAGGTGCAACAATTTTAGGTAGCAGTAGATTTGCTGCTCTAGAGTGAAGCCTCCTTCATAGAAACGACCATCCACTCAGAGAGCAGAACAACAATACCAGCCTTAAACTCATTACTAGCGCGTTTTGGCTCAAGATCAGATGCAAGCGATCTAATGATATTTTTGCTCTCAGTAAGGTTAGCCTCTCACTAATGTTGGGTCCTTTAAGGAGCGATTGCACTATTGGTGTTTGCGCAGTAATGCTGGTATTACTACCAGACACCATCTGCAGAAGCTGTGTGGAAGAAGATGAGGTGGAAACAACTCAACACTTCCTTCTTGACTGTCCCGCGCTTGGGAGATCATGACTTAAGCACTTGGGAGCGCATACCTTCATACATTGTATTGTCTTCTAAGCATTTTGCTAATTTATAAGTTCGAACGTAGGAGTTCTTCTTTTCTATGGCTTCACAAAGGACGTGCGATCCTTGATCAGCCTTCTATTTTAACTGGTTCGGTAGTCAGATGTATGCACATCATCAGCTATTTCGTTTACCAGAATTCTTTTTTGGCCTGGAATCCAATGTCTGCAGCCGTTTTCCGGCAGCCGGTACATCTATAGCCTCCCTTCTTCTAATGACATTCCATCGCATGAGATCGAGCTCTACGCATTAGATCCCGGTGGCTGCTCCATCTGGCATTTTTTCAACCGTCCGTGTAGATGTTGAAAATTTCACTGTTGGGTCGTGTGCGCTGCGCCATCCACCATCTTATGATATAGGTTGAGACCTGCTCTCCTAGATAAAGTGTGAGGATGTGGGATCTATTTTATCCAACGATCCCCTGCCTATCAATCTATAATCGTGATTTAACTTTACGCCGCCAATTGTCCAACTTATTTTACTGCAGAGCTCTCCACATGAACGTTTAATGGTGGTCGGTTGAGTAATCTTTACAGTGCCGCCGAGTGGTTCCTCCCACTCCCTTTATGCAATGAGCAAAGAGCCACAGTATCCGCTCCAATGGTTTTTATGTGAGATATTTTACAGACAGCGGTTCACCACCAAGATTGGCTGGACTACCGCTTTGTAGCATCATTGTATGAGGCCAGCTCCGTTAAGACCCTAGTATTTTCTTACATTCTCATGTCTAAAAATGCACAATAAGGATCCTTTTAGTTGGTTAATGATCGGTTAAAAGCTAATACGCTGGTTCAATGAAATTTGGCAAGTTTGGAAATACACACTGAATGCCGCATAAATTAGAAAATGATATCTAGATCTGATTTTCCCTGCAATCATAAAAGTTGTTTCTTTTTATATTCGCTTCACTTCCGTTTTCATCATTTCTTTGGCAATTGGGCAAGTCAAGTGTTCATGCGCTATGTGACAATATTATTTTATATACTGGGTCCCTGCTGATCGTTCTCATGGCGGCAAGTCTTTGTAGTTATTATAGTACTCATAAAGTAAAGTTAGCATTACGCGCACCTCATTATATTTATTCTTAATTCTTAATATTGTTTGTCAAAAAAGTCTTGCGGTATTTTCGCTAGTTGGCGCTGAGAGCGCGCAGTTCCAGTTTTGTTCGTCGCAT